TTTAAAGGTGAAATTTGTGTCACCAACACATAATCACTGTACGACGCCCCCTATCTGCTATTGGTTAGACTAAGAGATAGTCCCGCCCCAAATGCTTCCTGTTTTGAATACTGTGTACATTTTATAAAGTGCAACAGTCGGGTTCCAGAAGAAAAAATCTATGGAAGTCCATTTTCGCCATGGAATAAAAAAAATAAAAAAATAAAAAAGGTAATTCTAACTAATTCCTACTAAATCTGTGGTAATTCTGAGTTTATGTCTCACAATTCTGACTTTTTTTCTGAGAATAATAAAAATATAAAATAGATATAAAAACAATTGAGTCTGAATTGTGAGATAAAAAGTCAGAATTACCTTTTAGTTAAATTTTTATTCTGTGGTGGGAACAAAACAAACAAACAAAAAAACAGAATTAAGAAATGTAAACTCAGAATTCAATATGTAAACTGTAAAAAAAAGAAAAAGACTTTCATAATCCCATTAATTTTGTTCATAAGGATTTTTTTTCTTAAAACATTTTAAAAAAACAAAAACAAAATTCTGAAAGAAAATACTTAAGACAATGACATAAATGAACTTTTCCACGATTCAACTCAAATTGTGAAACTCGTGTATTAAATAAATTCAATGCACACAGACTGAATGTATACAGTGGGTACGGAAAGTATTCAGACCCCCTTAAATTTTTCACTCTTTGTTATTATTGCAGCCATTTGTTAAAATCATTTAAGTTAATTTTTTTTCCTCATTAATGTACACATAGCACCCCATATTGACAGAAAAACACAGAATTGTTGACATTTTTGCAGATTTATTCAAAAAGAAAAACTGAAATATCACATGGTCTTAAGTATTCAGACCCTTTGCTGTGACACTCATATATTTAACTCAGGTGCTGTCCATTTGTTCTGATCATCCTTGAGATGGTTCTACACCTTCATTTGAGTCCAGCTGTGTTTGATTATACTGATTGGACTTGATTAGGAAAGCCACACACCTGTCTATATAAGACCTTACAGCTCACAGTGCATGTCAGAGCAAATGAGAATCATGAGGTCAAAGGAATTGCCTGAAGAGCTCAGAGACAGAATTGTGGCAAGGCACAGATCTGGTCAAGGTTACAAAAAAATTTCTGCTGCACTTAAGGTTCCTAAGAGCACGGTGGCCTCCATAATCCTTAAATGGAAGACGTTTGGGACGGCCAGAACCCTTCCTAGAGCTGGCCGTCCGGCCAAACTGAGCTATCGGGGGAGAAGAGCCTTGGTGAGAGAGGTAAAGAAGAACCCAAAGATCACTGTGGCTGAGCTCCAGAGATGCAGTCGGGAGATGGGAGAAAGTTGTAGAAAGTCAACCATCACTGCAGCCCTCCACCAGTCGGGGCTTTATGGCAGAGTGGCCCGACGGAAGCCTCTCCTCAGTTCAAGACACATGAAAGCCCGCATGGAGTTTGCTAAAAAAACACCTGAAGGACTCCAAGATGGTGAGAAATAAGATTCTCTGGTCTGATGAGACCAAGATAGAACTTTTTGGCCTTAATTCTAAGCGGTATGTGTGGAGAAAACCAGGCACCTGTCCAATACAGTCCCAACAGTGAAGCATGGTGGTGGCAGCATCATGCTGTGGGGGTGTTTTTCAGCTGCAGGGACAGGACGACTGGTTGCAATCGAGGGAAAGATGAATGCGGCCAAGTACAGGGATATCCTGGGCGAAAACCTTCTCCAGAGTGCTCAGGACCTCAGACTGGAACTAAGGTTTACCTTCCAACAAGACAATGACCCTAAGCACACAGCTAAAATAACGAAGGAGTGGCTTCTCAACAACTCTGTGACTGTTCTTGAATGGCCCAGCCAGAGCCCTGACTTAAACCCAATTGAGCATCTCTGGAGAGACCTAAAAATGGCTGTCCACCAACGTTTACCGTCCAACCTGACAGAACTGGAGAGGATTTGCAAGGAGGAATGGCAGAGGATCCCCAAATCCATGTGTGAAAAACTTGTTGCATCTTTCCTAAAAAGACTCATGGCTGTATTAGATCAAGAGGGTGCTTCTACTAAATACTGAGCATTTTTCAGTTTTTCTTTTTTAATAAATCTGCAAAGATGTCAACAATTCTGTGTTTGTCTGTCAATATGGGGTGCTGTGTGTACATTAATGAGGAAAAAAAATTAACTTAAATGATTTTAGCAAATGGCTGCAATATAACAAAGAGTGAAAAATTTAAGGGGGTCTGAATACTTTCCGTACCCACTGTATATATATATATAATTGTTTCAATATGATATGTAAGATATAATTAACTTTCAGTTGTTTTAATATATTTGTCTTAATATCGATCAGTTGTTTTATATTTATCTATTGTTTTCATTTTGGTTTTGTCATTTGCGGTGCTTCATAGGATTGTAGTTCTTTCTTTGTCTTGTACCTTTGTTTTTTACCTGATTTTCAAATTGCTTCAAATAAATGTTTGTAGTGTTGTGACTCTCCACGTAGCTGGTTGGTTTGGTTCATGGTTTATAACTTTTGAACAAAGACTTATTTTTTTTTAGTATCCATATGGTAAAAATATCTAGTGACTGCTCGTCTCATAGGCACAAAATACCGAGGCTCCTCTCCTCTGAGAAGCTGATTGTCGACCCGTAGCGGGTCCATCTCCACCTGGTCTCTGGCTCTGTGTTTTTTTCAGTTACTCTTCTGTGATGTGTGCCAGATAACATTGAACCAGGTAATTGCTGCCCAGTCAACACAGTCGCCCAGCTGAACTCATTCTACAGGCAGCCACTCACCTGTGTCCCACAGTTCCAGATGCGTACTGTATGTGGGTCTAATGGGTTCAGTTTCAGATATCATGATGGCGACAGGCCACATTTTCTGGCTGCCTTAATATGTCCAAGAGTGTATTAGATTATTTGCAGTGAGCAGATGTGACCTTACATACTGTGGCATTGAATCATGAGTTAGAGTAAAGAAAAATCACAAACAAGATATATGTAATATTCTAGACAGCACAGCATGTAAAAAAATGCCAAATGTAATTTTTATTGAATAAAAAAAGTTCTTTCACATCCTGCCAAATGTTCTTCTCCAAGCATAATGCAAATTAAAGGATATAAAAACAAATATAAATGTATGAATATAGGCTATACTACATTATGCTGTACCAATAGTTTAAAAGTGTTTTATTTATTTATTAATTGATTGGAAAACTCACATCCCATATCATATATATAGATATTTTCAAATTCAACATATAAGATATAAGATATTTTCAAATTCAACATAGTTTTTCCATACATATTTCCAGCAACATTTTTGTATATTTATAGCTATATTTATATACTTGTTGTGTTTTGTACATTTTACAAAATATTTACAAAATACAAAAAATGAAAGTGAAAAAAATTATAAATACATGAATAAGTATATAAATATAACTAAAAATATAAAAAAGTAAAGAAAATGTTAAAAGATTTAAAATGTAAATGTTACATGTAAAATATAAATGTTAAAATAAAAATGTTACTGTACTCATAATTTTTTTTACTTGTGTTATATATGTAATATTTTAATTACATAGCCGATTTAAAGCGTACATTTAATGTCCGATAACAAATATTTTTGCATTCCAGTTCTTGATGCATATGCATTTGACTGCTTTAATCCATTTCTCTATATTTTATTCCTCTTTTGGAAAGTTGTTGAAACACAATAGTGTATTTTGTAATGGATTTGCTGTGCTCTCCAATGTACCCCTAAAGAAGTTTAACCTGCTTTTCTTTACCTCCATGTTCCAAACCTAAAATTGTGTAAAAAAAAAAAAAAAATCCATTATCTGAACTATAATACCTGCATTCGTTTTGTTCTCCTATATGAGAAACGTCTTAGACCCAGTGCATACTTTAAAGTGACAGTTAATTTGTGTTAAACATGCTTCTTCTGGTGTCGTGGATATGGTGGCTTTTTTCTTTAGCAGACAAATACTCTGATATTACTGTAAGCCTAATCATTTACATTTAGTCAAAAAAACAACTGCCTCACATACTATGCAAACCGACACATTGTTAATGGTGTGCACTGAGTTTATCCTTAAAATATATCTGCATAGATAATTGTTCACATAAAAGGGCATAAACAGCGATCTTGCATGCTTTCTAGTAAGTCATGAAGGATTCATTGGATGTTATGCATTTTTTATGCGCTGATCCTTTCTGTAATTTCATTGCAGGTTGCTGTAGATCTATTTTAAAGACATTGAAAGATAATATTGAGCTTGCTTTGCCATAACAGAAAGCATAACACAGACATCTATCATTTTTAAAACTATAAAGACAAACCACACCAATGCATCTTCAGGCAGAGCGCACATTAAGACATGTCATATTCTAATAAATCTGCATTCTTCTCAGCATCTGAAAAGCTGAGCTGTGCATCAAACCAGGAAATGCAGCCGGGTCATGTGACTTCAGCCAAGTGACGAGGCCACCCCTGAAACATTTTAGCTGCTTCCCATAGGGCTCAGTGTCTGATCCTCTCTTGCCACACTCATTTATCACCCCAGACTGTAGGTAATCGCCTCGTTCACAGCCCTGCTCTCGATATCCCGATCGTATCTCCCTCCGGATAGTGCTGGTGAACACAGGAGAGACACCCACACTGCTAAACAAGCCCTGTGCAATTTGAAGACAAACCTGCGCTGAGATGTTTTCCTCCATCTGCTTGCTGCACAGAGATGAATGAGCGCTCGCCTGCGTTAAGAAAAATTCCCGTAAGATGCAGCCCCATACCGAGGCTTAAATAAACACATTACACACACAAGTTTGCAATTATTTTATCCCTTCACCCCAAGCACACACACCATTGCTTTATAATTTCAAGGAGTCTCGTCCCAGGGGGACTTGCTGTTTTAATAGCGGAGGTTTCCGACCGGTTTAGCGCAGAGCCCTGCAGCTTGCCGTATTGACCCCACGCTCTTTGCACTGACCTTTATCTCTGCTCTCCTGCAGGTTCACCCTTTGTTGATACGCGAGCGGCGCTCGGAGTCGCAGAGGAACAAGCTGCTGCGACGGACAGTCAGTGTGCCTGTGGAGGGGAGGCACCATCCTGAAATGGGTGAGTCACACACGTGCCATCCTGCTGTTTCTGTGGTATCACTGTGAACCCCCTTTTGAGGGTTAATATTATATAAAAATGATCAATGGATTACTTAAGGCAAGACAGCCCAGATGAACAGGGTATATATATATATATATATATGTGTGTGTGTGTGTGTGTGTGTGTGTGTACCTGTTTTTCTATTCTGGTGGGGACTTACACCTGAATACACACAGACTCATGTCACGGTGGGGACCTAAATTGAGGTCCCCACGGGTAAACAAGCTAATAAATCAC